AAAATGACCACCATCGCTGATTCAGGTTCTGGTGATAGAACTGGTTCTAGCAACCTTAACCAGATTCTTGAGGTAGCACCCATGCGGATGTTAACCCTAGACGGTCAAATTGTGAAGAAACCACGGACATCACATGCAAGAAGACCTAAAGAACTAGTCACGGGTCAGGCTCCTCAGTCTTCAACCTCCATCCCTCATGAGGATATTAGTGGGGAAGAAGCTAGGCATATCCACAACACCATTGCTAATTTGGTATCTAGGGTTCTGATTGGGCCACATGATGTGCCAAGAATATCCATTCCCCCTAACACTGAGGGTCCTGCTCCCCATCTGGATGAACAAGCTGGTGTCACTCACGATGTTGAAACCTTGGAAACGACCTCACAAAAGGAAAATGATAAGGGTCAAGCTTCTGAAAATAATGATAACAATGATGATAATGAGGTTCAGAAGGATAATGCTAATATTGTGAACCTTGATGACTATTCAGATAATGATTTGATAGCCATGATCAACCCTAGCATAGCCAAAAGGCTCATGACTAGGAAAAGGAAGAAGGCAGTTGTGCAGAGTACTCCTAAGAATAAGACTATAACAAAGAATACTCTTGTTGGCCCTACCAAAGCCTGAAGCAAGGTTGTTCCACAGAAGAGAAAGGCCTAAACTAGTACTGAATCAGACTCTGACTCAGATGTTGCTTGTGATGTCACTGACATCCCACCAAAGAAGAGACCCACAACTAGCAAACTTGTTGCTAGTGTTCCTGATGTTCCTATTGACAATGTCTCATTTCATTATCCATCAAGTGTCAACAGATGGAAATATGTGTATCAAAAGAGATTGGCTTTGGAGAGAGAGCTAGCTCAGAATGCTCTTGAAAGTAAGGAGATCATGAATCTCATCTATAATGCTGGGTTAATAAAGACTGTCACCCAGTTCTCACAGTGCTATGAAATACTTGTCAAGGAATTCATTGTAAACCTATTAGAAGAATGTGCTGATAGAAAATCAAATGAGTTTGGCAAGGTATATGTAAGAGGGAAATGTGTCACTTTCTCCTCAACTATCATCAACAACTATCTAGGAAGATTAGATGGAGCACATCCTGATATAGCTGCTTCTGAAAACCAAGTGTGTCAAGTGATTACTGCCAACCAGGTCAAAAGTTGGCCCTCAAAAGGAAAGTTGGTTGCAAGTAAACTTAGTGTGAAGTATGCCATGCTGCATAAGATTGGTGCTGCCAACTGGGTGCCCACAAATCATAAATAAATTGTTGCAACTATCCTGGGGAAGTTCATTTGTGTTGTTGGGACCAAAACAAAATTTGATTATGGAACCTACATTTTTTATCAGACCATGAAGCATGCAGGCAGTTATAGTGTGGACTAATATTGAATCAGTATCCTAATATCCTCAAAGAGAATGACTTTGCATGCAAGAGAGAAAGCCCCTTGTCTTTCCATCACAAGTTGTTTCAAGAAACTCATGTTCCTGACATTGTCATGACATCTGCAGAAACATCCAAGGGAAGTTCTAAGACAAGGAAAGCTGAGGTTATTGCCATGATCAAAGAAACATGCAAGGAGTTGGAGACAAGGAAGCAAAATCTGGAAAAGTTGACCAGGTTCTTGAGCAAGATGAAGACACTGAATTTACTAATAATGATGAGGATATGCATGATGATGGTTCAGGGGAGGATGATGGCCAGGAAGCTGAATCAAAAGGAGCTACTGCTAGTTCTAAGGAAGATTCTGATAAAGGAGACAGTGAAGATGTTGAAGAGGATAACTCCAGTTCTTCTGAGGATGAAGATTAAGTTGTCTGCTTTGGTGGTTTGCTGATGGTCTGCTATTGGTGTGGCTAGTTTGTTTCCTTTTTGGTTAGATTTTTTTTGCTTTTGGTGGCTGCCTTAACTGAGTGAGATATTTGTGTTTCTCTTCATGAGCTTTGTGTTGTAATAACCCTCTAACTCTGTGCTTCCAACCTTATTTGATCTATACTATTTATTTAGTCATGATCATAATTTGTGGCTAAAAAGGGGGAGAAGTAGTAGTAGTAGTAGTAGCATGTTTAGCTGTTTATTATCAGCAGGTTTAGTTGTGTGTATGCATCAGCAAGTGTGTTGATGATGTTGCTGCAGGCTGAGTTGTGTTTAGGTTTTAGATGAGTTTGAGTTTTGTTGCTGTGTATGTATGCACTGAGCAGGTTTGCAGGTATGCTGAAGTTGATATGTAAGTGTTAGCAGGATGATGATCCTGTGTGTGTGTGGCTATTATTGTTAGGTGTGTGAGTTGGTGCTTGTACTTGAATGTGTGTGACTACAGGTTGTACAGGTTGTGTTTGGCTGATGCTATGTGCATCAGTTGAGGGGGAGTAACACAGGATGGTATGACATCTGTAGTTTGGACTAGCAGGTGTTTTTTTTTTGCTATGGAACAGGTGTGATTTAGGATGTCATCCTGGATGTCTTGACATCCATAATCCAGAGCAGTCTGGATTAGTGTGTGTGAATAGGTTGAACCTGAGTGGCTGGAAGCTGATATTGTTTGTCTGTGTAAATGACTCTGATATGGTACTACAGCATGTGTGTGTTAATTGGTAGTTTTAGCTAGTAGTTTTCCTGCATGATTAGATATATGGTATGAACGTTCTGCTGCTTGTGATCTCTGATAGGTTGACAGAGTGTTTTAGCCAAAAAATTGCCAATGGGGGAGTTTGTAGCTGTTTTGATTGGCTGCATTTTGTGGTAAAACATTGATGTATGTGTGAATGTCATGACTGATGTTATGACATACATAATGAGTGTGCTGCAGGGTAATTTTGGATAGCTAAGAGCAAAGTAGGTCGGATGTCATGTTGGATGTTATGACATCAAGCAGCTGACATCAGGGCGCGTGTTTTAGGTTCTAGTATATTGCATGAGGAAGCTCAGGCTATACTCTAGGAACATTTTAGGGATCCTAGTTATCTCAGGCGAAATGCTAGGCAATGATGAGGATAACATGAAATGTCCCTGACCTAATTGGAAGTGCGCAGCTTTATGAAAAGAGGTTTAACTTGGTTAAACCTAATTTATGCACTAAGGCCCAAGATCCTTCTGCTGCTTATAAATAACAAAGTAGCAATCCTAATTGGGGGGAGTTATGAGCAGAGCTTTTGAGACAGAGAGTACAGTGTGTTTGTGAGTGAAGAATTTTGTGTTATGCAGTCAGTTCTTCACGTGTGTTTTCTGTGTTAGGATTTCTTGTGAGCCAAGCAATTATCTGTTGTATGATTGCATTGGACTAGTGTGTTTGAGTTATACTCTGTTTGTGTCACTCTAAGCTTTTAATCACGAGTGTTGTGTCTCTTGATCAAAGCTATGAAGCAGATCAAGGTGTGTTTGAAGTGTGACTTCAATTTTATTTGTACCTGAATTGATTGCTATCACTGCTGTGATTGAGGGGGAGTGAGTAGATACTCAGGTCTACTGTTAGGCTAAAGTGTCATTGGGTAGGTCTTAAGTGAAGAGTGCAAACTGGTTGTTTGACTCTAAATTAATTCTACTAATAGTAAATTTCCTCCCTGGCTTGGTAGCCCTCAGATGTAGGTGTGATTTGCACTGAACTAGGTCAACAATTCTCTGTGTTATTTACTGCTTTCAATTCCTGTTAATTGTTAAGTTCTGTAGTCTGCTCAGTAGTGGATGTCATAACATCCACTGTAACATCGACTGTCTGGTACCTAGAATTTCAATACTCGTTGTAATTATAGGCTCGTGCAAATATGTTGAGTTGGAAACAAGAGAAGAGATGAGTCTTCATGGTGAGTCGGTCAGGACATGGCCAATTAGCTTCAAGTTGATTTTAATTCATATTCTAAAATGATTATAGGACATATTTCAAATTGATATGATGCCAGGATTAGAATTCATATTTAGGATTGTTTCAAACTTCAAGGTCAAACCTATGACAAACTTTGAATTAATTCTTTTGAAGTGGATTCAAAATGGAGATCAATTTATTCAAGTTGTTTCAAGTCCAACACAAGTGGTCTCAAAATAACCCAAGGTCATGGTTGTGTTTTAATTTCTTATTACAGGGTTTTAAGACGTATATGAATGGCCTCAAGTATAGCATGGGTTGTTGATACAAGTCGTGTTGAGATAATTTAAATCCTTGAATTAGGGTGTTAATTACTAGCAATCCTAAGTCAAGATTGGGGTTCACCTTCACGACATAAATAAGAGCTTAAAAAACAAAGCAATATGCCAATATAAGGGTGCAAAATTACAAAGTAGGTTCTAAAAACCAAAAGTAACAGAGGTCAAAATAAGTTTTTTACAAAAGGTGGAAATTGAAAAAGAAACAAGGCATTGAATGCAAAGTTACAAGTATCACAAGGCTTAAATCTACAAGTTATGCAAGACCTAAAGTACTTAAATCTCTATGCCTCATCATTCAAGATTTAAGAGCAGCCATTGATTCTTTCATTTATGTTAATCCCTCTATGCCAATCTGCCTCACCAAATAACTTCATAACGCCAATTCTCTTCATGCAGCCATGATTTTTCTTCTTCACTCAAGCTCTTCATCAAGCTTTACATCAAGACCTCCACTAAATCTTCATGTTAAGTCCATCAAGTGGTTTCTTCCAACCTTTTTTCTCGAGCACAATGCACACAAGTGAATTAGTTATAAGAGGGCACACAAATAATATGAATTCAAACTCTACAAGATATACAAGCCACAAGGTTATATGTTCTATAAAGTTTCAATTTGGTTCCAAAAGGTTGCATTCCCATGACAATAAATCCTACGGTTCTTACTAAGATTTAAACCAAGACATTACACTAATTTGAAGGAAAGATTACAAGATCTAAAGTGACAAAATCATGTGATAATGTGTCCAAAGTGTTTCGTTTCATACCTTCTATGCCTAAGACTTCACATTCAAGTCTATGACAAGCTCCCCATCAAGCCAATTCCAATCTCCTTTCCATATAGCCTTCCACTTTCTCTCTATTTTGAGGTTGCACAGGCATTTTCCATCATGGTCAATTTTGATCCAATCCAAGCCTTCATGCCCAGGTTGTTTCCACGCCAAGTTTCATGTTTCATCCAAACTTGTGCCAGACATGTCATCATGAACACCTAGATAAGGAAATAGTTAGTATACAAAAAAAGGATCAGAACAAGTTCAATTCCCAAACTAAGTCACAAGACAAAGTCATTCCAAATACATATTAGCAACAATGAGAAAATTCAAATACATACATATTAGCAACAATGAGAAAATTCAAATACATACAGATGTTGGAGATATACACAATTCAAAGGTACAAAGCGTACAAAATATGCACAACGTCATCCACAAGCAAGGTACAATTCAAAGGTAACAGATGCAAGAACATGGTAGTAGCAGAAATGGAATTTTAACACACATGAAATTGGAAAGGCAAAGTACAAAAGACAATTCAAGCAGCAAGTATTGCAAATTCACAACAACAATAATAAAATAGGCTGAAGTTAGTAAATAGGCATTTTGCAGAAGAAAACACGTGATAGATTCACAAGATATTTCAACCACAGTAGGACCATAATTTCTGATCTTTCAAGAATAGGCAGAAAAGACAAAGTTCCAAAAATAGTACAATCCCAAATCCCACGAAGTCAGTGTACGCTTCCACCACCTCTAACGGTTTCATCCTCTCAGACTCACACCTCATCATTCTTTCACACAGATTTGGCATTTCTCACACGTATTAAAACACCCTATATATTCCATTCATTCCAAGAGGACGAGGATGCAAAACAAAAAACCCTAAAAAAAATTCCTACTCAAAGAACCCTAGCGAAGCACTGAGCAAATTATTATTGAAACCCTAACATTCATCAAAAGTTCTTCCTAAAAGGTTAATAGAGCTTCACACTGAAGCGCTAATTAACTTGAACTAAGACACATTTACTACACATCAGAGAAGCAAAAAGAAACATAAGGAAGAAAGAAGATATACCAAACAAAGAGGGAAGAAAGATTAGGAAAATTACCTGGACACTCTCGAAGGCTCGTCTGAGGAATCTCTTCAAAAGGTACCTCACTTGAGCCTCTTTCTCCTTCATCTTTAGCTCCGATATTTGATCTTTAGCTTGTTAATGCCTTCTGAGGAGTTTAATTTTTTTGCTCATGCCTTATTTTGCTTGATTATTGTTTGTTTTTCAGATTAGGTTTTTTTTGGAATGGCCGATCTGAGAGTTTGAGAGGGTTTTAGAGGATTTTGGTTTCAGATTCAGGTTGTAGAGAAAATTTAAGGGGGGTTGATATATGTAGTTTTTTATTTGGAGGAGGTTTTTCTGAAGAAGACGGCGACGATCACCGTGTGCCACCATCTTCTCCACCCAGTGTTAGGGTACCGTTGAGGGTTAAAGAGAGGAAGGGAATTCTGAGGTTTAGAGAGAGAGGGGATATGACATAGTGAAGTGTTTTCACTTATTTTGGTTTTTTATTTGACCTCCGTTACCACATGCACATGTTGTTGGTGTGGCTGTCTCCGCCAGTGACAAGTGTCACCGGCCTTTGCCTCTCCCGAGATCTCCCGTGAAAACGTCCTTGCGTCCCTACCGTGTATATCATGCACCCCCCTTTGATTTAGAAGTAATGTTGACTCCCTTGGTGAATCAACAATCCAAATGCTATCTGCAAGGTAAATGGTATGACTGAGGTCCATGGTGGACCTCCCTTGCATGGGCCTTTGCTGGTCTGGGCCTGGAGAGATTTGGTAGAGGCACACTCGGAAGTTTTACCCCATACCCCTACACTTATACCTATACCCCTACATTAAAAAATTTTGGACCAAAATATCCTCGTATAAAAATTTATTATTTTTTAATTTTTTTAATATTTTTTTATTTGTTTACCGAAAGACTTTTTGGAAGTCTTCCGGTTCACATTTTTTTAGTATGTTTACCGGAAGACTTTTTGGAAGTCTTCCGGTAAATATTTTTTTCGTTTGTTTACCGGAAGACTTTTTGGAAGTCTTCCGGTTCATTTTTTCTTTAATTTATAATTAATATTTAAGATTTATTAATTTTATATAAAGACCAATTTAGTAAATTTTTGAATATTATACTTAAAATATAAAAATTCTATAAATAGAGAATCATTTTCAGAATATTTTCTATTTACTATAATTATTAGAATACTAGGATTAAAATCATTTATTTTAAATGATCATAATAGTAGAATTTTCTCAAATATCTTATTAATCTTAAACATTAATAAATAAAATAAATTTAAATATAAGATATAAGTTTACATTATTCAATATATTTAATCAAATGAAAACATATGTGATAAATAAATAATGTATTTTAACTTAAAATGATCACAATAAGTTAACTTGCAAAATAATATAAGTAATAAATTAATAATGTATTTTATTTAAAATAATCACAATAATAAAATACGCAAATAATGTGTTTTATTTATAGGACTGATATAGTTTTATTGATTATTTAATTTTGAATACTACTATGAATATAGTATTTAATCTATACTTTAGAACTCACATAATTATAAATATAAAAAATATTGTTTTATTACCCATATTTTTATTTAATTAAAAAAATAAGAATATAAATTTATTATTTGTTTTTCATTTTTGTTTGATCTTTTTAATTATTTCACTTTATTTAATATTTTTAATAAAATAAATAATATATTTTATTTAAAGTAAGCACAGTATAGAATATGCAAAAAATTTATAAATAAAAAAAAGATCAAATTACTATTTACTATAATTATTAGAATACTATGACCAATTTACTATAAATAGAATATTTTCTATTTACTATATTTTCGTTTGATCTTTTTTTTATTTATAAATTTTTGCATATTCTATACTGTGCTTACTTTAAATAAAATATATTATTTATTTTATTAAAAATATTAAATAAAGTGAAATAATTAAAAAGATCAAACAAAAATGAAAAACAAATAATAAATTTATATTCTTATTTTTTTTAATTAAATAAAAATATGGGTAATAAAACAATATTTTTTATATTTATAATTATGTGAGTTCTAAAGTATAGATTAAATACTATATTCATAGTAGTATTCAAAATTAAATAATCAATAAAACTATATCAGTCCTATAAATAAAACACATTATTTGCGTGTTTTATTATTGTGATTATTTTAAATAAAATACATTATTAATTTATTACTTATATTATTTTGCAAGTTAACTTATTGTGATCATTTTAAGTTAAAATACATTATTTATTTATCACATATGTTTTCATTTGATTAAATATATTGAATAATGTAAACTTATATCTTATATTTAAATTTATTTTATTTATTAATGTTTAAGATTAATAAGATATTTGAGAAAATTCTACTATTATGATCATTTAAAATAAATGATTTTAATCCTAGTATTCTAATAATTATAGTAAATAGAAAATATTCTGAAAATGATTCTCTATTTATAGAATTTTTATATTTTAAGTATAATATTCAAAAATTTACTAAATTGGTCTTTATATAAAATTAATAAATCTTAAATATTAATTACAAATTAAAAAAAAAACATGAACCGGAAGACTTCCAAAAAGTCTTCCGATAAACAAACGAAAAAAAATATTTACCGGAAGACTTTCAAAAAATCTTCCGGTAAACATACTAAAAATATGTGAACCGGAAGACTTCCAAAAAGTCTTCCGGTAGTCTTCCGGTAAACAAATAAAAAAATATTAAAAAAATTAAAAAATAATAAATTTTTATACGAGGATATTTTGGTCCAAAATTTTTTAATGTAGGGGTATAGGTATAAGTGTAGGGGTATGGGGTAAAACTTCCGGCACACTCCATCTTCTAGTACTATCTTGGCCCATTCCTTTAGTTTTTTATATATTTTATTTATTAATATTTAAAAAATGTAAAAAATATTATTTATTTTTATGTTAGTTAATTTTCATTTAATTTTATTAAATATACATTTAATTTAGTAAAACAAAATATTTAGTTACTTTAAATATTTTGATTTAATAATAATTAATTATTTTCTTAATTAACTTTATTGGATAATTATATTTAGTTTAATTAATAAAAATTTCCTAGTAAATTTAAAACCCAAAATGTTTTATTTATAATTAAAGTTTGACTTTAATTATTATATTTATTAATTAGTATAATTATATAAGTTTAATTAATTTTTCTTAATTCTAAAAAATACCTAAAAATATTTTTTTAATCATTAATTCTTAATTATTTTTATTAAACATTTTTATTTAATATTAATTAACGTTAATAGTTAATTTTATTAAATATTGAAGTTTAATTTAACTAATTACTTTGGTTAATTATTTCACTACCTTAATCCTAATTTATCTAAACAATAATAATAGTTTGGTTAACATCTTTTACCTTTTTTTCTCAATCATTTACATATATATTATGTTCTTATGTAATTTATCGTACCTTAGTTATTATTATGCCATTCTATACTTGTTTGTGCAAACCCCATTTTCAAGCTAATATCTTGATTCTCAAATCAAGTCATTTTCAAATACCTTGTAAGCCGATTGTTTTCATGATCGCCATCAACCTTATAGCCTCCTCTTGGGCTTTGTACAATGACACTTGTTACACACTTCACATGCATGCTTGCTTGAATGATTGGTTTATAAGATAAAAATAAACTCTTTTCAAAAGAAACACATAAAGTTGATCCAACGTCAAGTATTTTCAAAATAAATGCAATTAATCACCAACTTCTTTCCAGCGTAATCGTCATCCATAAACTACTCTAACTATATCAAAATCCTTTCACAATTAAGGTTGAAAAAGAGAGAGAGTCAAATCTTCGATTCACTTTCCTGATCGCTTGGGCCCGAGGAGCCTTTCTTAAGCTTCAAGTGATCCTCATCCAATTAAAATACAAACAAATTAATCCAACTTCTCGCCGTCGTGCGATTAAAACTTTTTCTAAAAGAACATTATTTATTCCCTTCTTCCGTGCATATAAACTAGTGCTTCAGACTCCTTTAAGCGAGCAGACAAGCCAACGCTTAACAGTTAGAATGCAAACACTCATTTATAAAATACACAAACCTTTACCCGTAGCACCATGAACTACGATGCTCTGGCGTTCCTATTGCACGAGGGAGTACGTAGGCACAAGGGCCCCAATCCTTGGCGAGCACCCCAATAAAAACCACTCATTTTTCCCTTAGAGGATGCTAATACCAATCTTTAGAAGATAACAAATCTTTAGAAGATAACAAACAAGCGTAGCTAAATTTTCTCTCGAATCGAATCAAGAGGTTCCGGTTGCGTATAACGAACGTAGAGGATGCTAATACCTTTCCTCTTGCGTAATCGACTCTCGAACCTAGAATTTGGCTGCGATGACCATGTTCTTATCTCTTTAAAGGTTTTATCGATATTTTCCTATTCCTTTCTTGGAATGAATAAAGTTAGGCGGCGACTCTGTTCAAACGTTTTGATGTGTCCATTGCGAGGATCGTATTTTTCGAGGTACGACAGCAGGAGCAGTTTTTTTTGTACAGTGATGTTGACTATTCCTCCACTTAAACATTGGGATATTGCTGTTGGAATATATTTCCAAGAAAACCCTTTAATAGATTTATTCTTTCAAGCTCTATAAATTTAAAATTAAGAAGCTTGAAGAATTACAGATTTGCAGAAAATAAATAGCGAGTTGCTGATGATAGCACGCTACTATGCAAAGCCAAAGTGCTGAACAAAATGCTACAAGTTGAAGCCTAAATGAAGAATGCTCAATGAAGATTAATTTGAAGCAAAATTGGAGTGAGTACAACGATGCAATATGCTGAAGCCATGTGAAGCTAGTCAAGTGAAACATCAATAAGTGAAGCATAGTAACTTAGTTGATCTTGATGGTTAAACTGGAAGAAGTATTATTTACTCAAGAAGGAGAAATCAAAAGAAGCCGAAGCACATGATAAGAAGCCTTAGTGCTCATCAAGAAAGCTTCTAAGCCATATAGAACTAATGTTTTATAATCTCTCAGAGATTCATTCTTTAAATAGTTTTTTATATTAGAAAGAAATGAGTTGTGGCTCATATCTTG